CTCTCGTGTGATGTCATATCGATGTTACCATTGGTTCACTTCGCCTCTCACCGTGCATCCCGTCCAAACCACCCCCACACTCAGCTCAGAATTGCAGCAATCTCCCGCCATAGGGGCATACACCTCCACGTTCCACCCACTCCTCTTTCGTTGATTGGTCCACGCTACCCCAAGAGCCCAGTCCATCGCGTTCTCCTTCATATGCTGAATAGCGAATTAATAAACCAAGGGTTAAGGACCTAACAAAAGGAAGTTCCTAATCCGGTTTTGGACTCTGTATTGTGACCTTTTATGTACGGTGGCAAGTACTGTTTGCATTCCTTTTGGACAATGTGAAGCCAGGTTGTTTGGAAACTGATACTCCTCTATACCTCTTAAACTCTGCACTTGAATTTATTTATTTGACATAATGCGAGAGCATGAAACTTCTGTAGCATGTTAGATCTGACCCTGATTTATTTATAACTCGGAGTTTATTGTTGAAGCAAACGGTCTTGCAGGCGGTAACAGTGATCAACCTGTCTCTTTATCTTAGCTAAAATGGGTCGTGCTCTCAAATGTAAATGAACAGACGCCATTTTATTCCCTTAAATTATATCGTGCCACAGGGCCACTTGTATTCTACATCGGCTGTCGACACAAGCCCGATTACCATAAGAATACATCAAACAACTGTTCCCAGCTCCGCCCCAGGGATTTGGGGTCGGAGGCTCCAGGTAACGCCACAAAGATCTTCGCTTCTAAGCACAGTCTCACTGTCTCCACCTGATGAGTACAACTACGTACGAACACGATCATCAAATGCAGTGTTGCGAATGAGCTGCACTCACTATTCTCCGCTAATTACAATGTTACTTGTTTCCACAGCAACCTTATATATCCAAAACCTGCAAGAAACAAATTGCAAAGAAGGAAACTACTTGGGCATCGAGTCATTTAATACCAACTTCATTATGGAAAATCGCAATGCTTCATTAAGCAACAGTCTCTCAATAGGCATCAGCAATCAAATAGAAATCTTTGTGCCATTCACTGCCTTCACAAATAACCGAAAACCTAACTTCTCAAAGGGTCATCATCACCAGAAAATAGGAGCAGGGACTATTGTTTCCTGGTAAAAGCTTGACAGCGACACTGCAACATTCGTAGTTGCTCCATGCGCGTCAGTCGACGAAGGATCCATACTGCGCTGCCCTAAAAACTTGCTTAAAGCGTTTGTTAACTTCTATAATTTAGCCGCACTTGATAACTGCTTGTCTCGTAGCTATTCTCCTAACCCCTAAGGTCGGCTCCTGGCCTCTAAGATCGGTGGACATGTAGAGGCTAGTTACGTTCAATCATCGATGCCTTCGCAGTTTGGCTCACATCTGGTAGGAACACTGCGTGAGTAACGACCGTGTTGGACGCCTTGTTAACGGCGCAGCAAAAGGAACTGATCAGCTCAGCACTGTCGTTTCACTCACCAGGCTCCGATGGCTCGGCCACGTGTTACACATGCTAGCCCACCGACTCCCGCGACGTGTGTTGTTTGCTCACCGGGGGTGTGGATGGAAGAAGAGGAGGGGTATCCAAGCAATGACTTGCTCGAGAGGAATGAAGGCCGTCACTTCGGAGCTGGTCTCGGTTGGAGCATCACGGCTCCCTGGTAGGGGTTGAAAAGACGGTGAACACGTTTGGCTGGATACACATGCTGACATGGCAAGGAGCCGACCTTAGTTGCGTTCATGCTGTGAGTTTCTTTGTCCCTCCCCATCCCTCTTAGCTACCCCCTCCACCTACGATCTCATTTCTTAGCGTAAAACATAATAACTTTTTCTTTTTGCCTAGTAGCCGGCTGGTAGCTTACCGAAACGATGCCTATCCGTTGCTGATAGCTCAGCTGGCATGCAACTTTTGTATTTATTTTCCTTTTTCGTTTATGTATTGCGGCACAGTAGCTGAGGTGTTTCCCACCTCTCGCTGACGTGTATAATGATGATGATGATGTTATCCTGTGTACCACCATACAAAGGTTAAGAACTGCGAAAATTCTCCACCATCATGAAACACTGAGTCTCCTTCAACCACTTCATTAAGGCAGTAAGAAGACATAGGTTGCGATATGTTAACATTTCGATTGCTCTCGTCAGTCGCTACGCAATACAGGCAAAACAAAACACACAACATATAGGTTCCACACTTAGTAACGAAGATAAGCAGATAAAACTGATAAGAATGACGTAATCCGGTCCAAGGTAATCAATTCAACCCGTGCTCTGTGCCCAGAAACAATTGAGACAATCAATTAGATTGCCTTGGACCTGATTACGTCATGCTTATCAGTTTTATCTGCTTATCTTTGTTACTAAATGTGGACCCTATATATTGCGTGTTTTGTTTTGCCCGTATTGCTTAGCGACTGACGAGAGCAATCGAAATGTCAACATATTGCAACCTATATGTTCTCCACCATACGTTAAGATATTCACATTGTTCTTATCAGCATAGACTTCAAACTTGCCACAGTAACCACAAAGTCCATTTAACTTAGACCCTAAATTGGATGACGTACTATCACAGAATATGGATCACATTATAAAGCTAACATTGTTAACCAATGGCTTAAAGGTTTAGGTTGAAAAGATCTTTATACCGAGCCCAAGCATCCACATTCCAGTGAGGCTACTGAGAATTCGGTGCGAATTTTCAACAGCAAAATTACTTCGCTCAACCAAACAACGTTTAATGAGGTTAACAGAAGTGTTGACAGCTTCTTTCGATAATATAGGAACACGTCTAATTCGCTATTGTAAACAGTCCTGTGAAATTGTGCAGGAAGGTTTCGCTCAGGACAGACATGTTGTGCTATATTATCGTGCAGAAGCAGCATGGATTCCGCCAAAACCGCTCATGTAAGATGAATCTTTTGTTAGCACATGTTAGCTGGACAGAATCCGTTGATGATGGAGAAGGAGTAGATGCCGCTTACCCCGATTAATCGAAGGCAGTTACTCGCCTTGATCACCGCATTCTTCTACAAACGATTCGAAGCTATGGCATCGGTCATGCTGATATTCATTCATTCATAAGCTAACGACACTTGAACGTGAGGGTTCGTAGCACGCTGCTCGGTCCGACAGCATTCATGGTGATGTCACTCAAGGCCGGATATTAGGACCATGGTTATCCCTCGTGTTTATAAACAACCTCGTGGGTGTGTTTAAGACGAACTTTCGACTCTTTGCGCAAGACTTCAAGATTTGTCGGGCAATCAAACGCGTAGACGAAGACGTAATACTGCAAGGTGATCTCGATAGGGCTTCCGAGTAGTCGACCAAGAACATGCTTGATAATACTCTGCTAAATGCAATGACGCGCATACACCACAAGCGGCCCTACCAACATCCACTTGGAGAACACATTACGCAGTGCGCTTCTCGTGATAGCGATCTTAGGTGTGCATTCAGGACGTTCATGAATGCTCAGAGCAGGCTAAAATGGCAATGAAAATCCAGCCAACACTTGAACCTACTGTGGATGACATTTGGCCGGTTTGATTCTACCTTCTTTTCGCAAATGCTTAACGCTTAGATGAGGCCACTAGTAGAATACGCCATTAGTGTCTTGTATTCCAGGCAAGAGCATGATCTCAATGTTCTTGATAAGCCACACATGAGGGCTTCATCTCCCTTACTAGTTGAGCCTAAAGACTAGAAGTTTTTAGTAAACAATACCGTCTACTGCGAGGTGTCTCAAACACTGCTTGTGGAGTTCAATGACCGAGTGATCGTGGCGATGGCCGCAAAGCACTATAGGCCAACTTCCACTCCCAGCTCGGCTATCTCTACCTGATGAGTCTAAACGAAGACGAAATCGTTGGTCCTGGAGTGCAGGGATGGGAGACAGCCACATCGAAACCTTCCAGGTGCTCTCATATTTTGTACCTAAAACTCAAGGATTCTAGCAACCCATTCCGACCCCTTTTGCAACTCAGCCACAACACCTCAATCAGTGGATAGCAAATGAAGTCGGGGACACAGTATAGCCGGTTGGAATGTCTCCAGAACTTTTCATCATTTCCTGTGTCCAAACTGTTGAATTAACTTCCGCATTAGCTCATATCTGCCCTTAGGTTGTCGGAAATCAAAACTCTGCTTGATGATATATTGCACTACCAGCATTATTTGATTTAGAGCAAGTAACCGGGACAGGCGACAATGTAACAAAACAACGAGTGCACGTAAAATCTGCGATAAGTCCACCGCTGTGCGTCAGTTTTCTCTTGATATATCCATTTTCGATCTCACTCTTTTCCTATGGACAAACCTTAAGCGTTTGCTTTCAGATCCGCGCTAAATAGACTGTTCCAGTGCTCCATCGCTTGGAATCTGCCAAGATAATGAGCTTCGAACAGCTCGTGGAATAATCCTTAGCAAGCTGGGTTTCTGTATGTCTTGAATACTTGATCTATCTGATGGGTCTTTACATAGTAAATATTACGAGCTGTTTTTATGCAACTCATCTAATACTCCTGGAATTTTGGGCAAAATTAACCATTTCTTCTCCGAGACAATTTCAGGAAGACGCACTGCTTGCGAACAGGTGTAAGAAAGTTAGCCGAAACACACAAGAAAGACCTGAGCGGATGATGAACAAAGGGAACCGTAACTACAGCAACGCAGAAATTCAGCTAGACTGGGGCGGATGTGGAGGTTGCTCTTTGGGATATTTTATTGGTCTTTTTCCTCTGTACCCATATACTTATTTCAACCGCGATCTGGCCACTTGCGCTTTGTACGTGCACTCACGGTGCGTTATATTATTTCTGCGTTGACGACAACTTTGAGTCCGATCTAAGTCAACTCGATTCCGACTAGTCCGAGCTAAGTGGATCCCTATTCCTACTGGTTCTTACAAGAGTGCATGTACCGAGTACAACGTCTGGAGGCATTTTATGCATAAAATCACTATAAAGAATGAGGAAATATTACATACATATCACACATATACCTAAAACGTACGGTCATTTGGTGGCGGCTGAAACACCAGTATCCTTTCCGAATTAAAGTAGTCTGTGGTCAGAACCGTTTCCGCGTACAGGGGGTCCTCTGGTCCCAGGCGATGATCGAGTATGAAATTACTGAAGCAATGTAAGATGTAATGCAACTGTTAAGGCAATAATTAACACCAGTTTTATGCATGACAAACAGTTGAACGTCGTTTTACTTTGGGCGATGGTCCTGGTTATGCTGGTTTGACCACTTAAACATATGAGCCACACCACCGTCCGGTTAACCCAGTTCAATTTCTCACGGAACGCTCAAAGTTGCATATCCATGGTGATGGTTTACGATCCTTCATGTCATTGAGACTCATTGTATACACCATAAGCCACAGATTATCGTCAACAGTTCATGTGAACGGAGGGTCCTCCTAAATCAGTAAAGTACTTTCGTAAGCTTAAAGATTATCTTCGTTTTCGATCTTTTGATATGGCTGCTTTTCACGACACGTTTTACCTCGCCAGAGATGCTAACCTCATGTGACCATTCCGAATGCACAGTGTTTCAGAAGTGTTTGTTCCTGTGTGGTTGCATTCTAAGACCGACGTTTGTTGATTTATCATTGCCCAAACACACAAACGCCTGCATATTAGTGTGCTAAAAACTCATCGATTTCAGTCACCAATCCATAGCGTATGGTCAAAATGTGCAGTAGCCTCCTTGATCAGACAAGAGCAAAACCACTTGCATGTCCTCACAAGGGAATAAATTTCGTCGGTCGCCAATGATTAACACTATTTTGCTGGGTGTGAGTTTTGGCGTTAAACGTTTAGAGGTCAGATTTTATCAGTAAGCATGATTCTGTCCACTTTGTCTAAACTGTTTCCCTTTTTTGTACTGTCTTCTAATAACAGTTCTATTTTACCGTCACCATAAAAGGTATTTGTATGTTGGTGCTGCATATTTACATTTTCTGGGTCATATTAATTAGCTTACTTTGGAATCAAGTAACCTTCCTAGAAGCGCTCGATAAATAAGTTCAGGGAAATGGAGAAGCAATCGGTTATTGTTGGATAACCTTTATGCTTTTACGCAGTGGTCTCGTCAGATCAGGCTGATCGGTTTAACATTTGGGAAAATTTTATAGCGTTAACGCAGAAATACGTCAAGGGGTTATTGCAGTCACAGGTCAGGATGTCACCTCAAGTGATTTTATCCCAGGAGAATGGTCCATCGGTCAAGTCATGCACCATCGCATTAGCAGATAACCACCTGTAGTTTGGGGACCGACTTGCTGTTTTCAACCGGATCCGTGCATAGACGTCCGTCAGACCGGTTGGACTATGGTTATTCGCCACACCGTAGACAATTTCCTCCCTTCCACAGTTCGCGTAGCTGCTGGATTTGTCGTTATCCAATCTCGACAATAGCTAAGTCGATTTGGCCTTCTGTGTCCAAGTCAAGCAGCTCCAAGGCCTTCCTGAATACTTACCAGTATTCAAAATCTTTCCTCGGTGGTGCTGAAATGAGTCTTTTGTGTTCTGAAATCCCTGTGCGGGTATTTCGCTTGTATTGATCCACGTATTATATGCTGCCTTGTTAAGAAACCCAAGTTCCTGATTTTTATATTGGCCGTTGTTGACACAAATCGCACTGAACTCGCATACTCTGCCCCCCCTCCCGACTAGACAAAGATGTACTCGTAAGTCTTATAATTTGCTGGCGAATCATTTTCAAATTGTGACCCAACTGCCAAATACTGCAGACTAATTGATGAACGGTGACCGGCATACGTAAATGTCAGGTCGGAACCAATTCTGCTAAGAACATGCTGAGCGTCCATTCAGTAGTTCTACGACGTTTGCTAAAACCTCTGCACTGGAGAGTAGTACTCCGTCAGTATCGGAGTCGTAGACAAGATCGGCGGTATTCGGCAGTCTTGGCTGATTAGGACCACGAGAAACTTTAGTAGCGCGCATTACCATAAGGGCATAGCGCTTGTTACGCATTGCATTGTGACTAGACCTGACAAAATAAACTCTCAACCAGTTATCAAGCCGTACCACAACTGTAAACACTGGTCATGTGCCCTTTGTTCGCTACTGATCCGACTATGTTTAACTGGGCTCAAATCCAGATATAATACGTGGATATCGATCCCCCATACTTTCCGCTAACGCTCTTCTCCAACAGTTGGGGATCGATTAGAACCCAGTTAAATACATGCATAACGAAGAAGTTGATCAAAAATTCTTTAGTTGACTTTTTTACACTATTTCAGTTTGGCATCCTTCTTTGAGAGGTTGATATATCTTATTTCAGTGCACATATAATATCTAACTGTAAAACAACCACGAAGCTGCGCTTACCTGTAGGAAGGTTTGGTAGAATTGTAGGCCCGTATAAGACCAGAGTGATGGAAGCTGAAAGCTTGCTGAACGCCCCACCTTCAAGCGAAAATGTGTAGAAAAATGAGGGAAAGCACATTTGTTTTTACTTGGGGAGAATCTATTCTGGGTGACACTTCCACCATCTTTATCTGATGAAGAGAACACTTTGTCATACATGGTTTCAATAGTATGCTTAAGGAAAGCACAGTGTAGATTAGAACCTGTTTATCTGAAGCAATACTGCAGGCGAAAGAATGACAACAATCTCCTGAATTTACTTCAACTTGTCGGACCACTCTGTGTAAAAGATCAGAGGACACTGACAAAAATGCTACTAATAGTATCGCCTTTTATGTCTAGCTACTGTTAAGTATGACAATAGTGTTTTCCTGGATCATTGAATACCTGCAGTCTTCCTAAGCGGGATTCAAAGTACACTGTCCATGGTGCAACGAGAAACTATGCACTAGTTGAGAACGTAGTGTAGTAATTTTAATTATGAGTGACCGTAGTACTTGTTGAGTTTAGGTGCACGCTGATCCGAGCTTGTACTTTAAATCCGTCTATCGGGCTGTGAATCTGCGCTGGAGTTAGTCATCCAGTCTACTTTTTCAGTTTTCGTTACCAGCTGTCACGCTAGAGATCAACAGGAAATGAGGTTAGAGAAAAACAAGTAACGGGCGCGTTCCATGATAATAAATGGGACCAATACAGCGGTCGCGTACTAAACTACTGCGTACACTGGGTACACTACTATAAGCCAGGCCAACAGTGATAGATTAACGCCTATAAAATGCATTGTTAGAGGGTTGTTGAGTGCCAAATGAAGGTTTTACTTCAACATCAATCGTGAGGACACAACTCAAAGACAGACTTCCTTGGTCATGTACCTCTTACTGTGTATATTCCTTCTCTTGTTCATGTCGAGCAAGATACATCGGAAGAACTACTAGGAGGCTGTCTGAGAGAATACGTGAGCATTGTCCAGCTAATCTACGCAATAGTGGGAGAAAATCTGTGATGAGCACCGTGTTGGCACACTTGGTTGATTCGAATCACCAAATGAAAATTTGCTGCTTTAAAACAAATAACAATTCGAAGCTTTACTCGCATCGTGCAAACGGACGCCACACTGAAGCCGATGAATGACTTTAGGTATCCAGTAGTTCGTTCATCCAGAAGCAACCAGGCACGCAAATTCCAAAGAGAAATTTATTACACCTACAATATCATAGTGTTTGCTGATGTCATAGGGTCGATCATTGCAATAGCACTTATCGGATATTTGGTAAAGTGCAACTTCTTCGTTCAGGAGCAGCCCGACTTCCACCGAAACCGCACATATACCACGATCTTTTGTTACCATGTACCAGCTGGACAGAATCCGTTAATGCTAGGGAATGAGTTGTTGTCATACAGCTTGATTTCTAGAATACTTTTGGTCCTCTAAATCACCACATTCTTCTTCACGAACTTCATAACTATGGGGTCGGTAACCATATCCTTGGATAGATGCATTCAGCCCAACGCCAACGCCGCTTGTATGCACGGGTTCCCAGCGCCCTCCCCTACCCGATAGAGGCATACACGAAACTAGGTACAAAGACCACTGCTATTTCTTGTGTTCATTAACAACTTCACGAGAGTGATCACAAGATTGGTCGAGCAGTTCAGAGAGTAGACGGCCAAGTAGCCAAACAAGATAACCACAACATGGCTTACGTGTGGTCATCTCAGAGCATACTTGAGTTTAACCCTGTCAAATGTTAGCTAATAAGCAAAGGACATCAAATCACCTATGAACATAGACTAGGAATGCACGTTTTGCAGCACGCCTGCTATGAAAGTGAATTTGGGGTGATTGCGCAGGACGATATCGGATGCTCAAGATAGGCCGAGAAAACAGTCACGAAAGTTAGCTAGCACTTTGGCCTACTACGGAGGCTGTATTCCAGGTTTGGTTCTACCTTCTTTTCAGAAACACTCAACGCGTACGTGAGGAGTCATGTTAAATAGGCCACTCAGGTGTGGCACCCCTAGCCAAAACATGATCTCACTGCTTTTCAGAAGCTACAACGTAGGGCGAATAACCACCTTAAGGAATTGCTCCACATCTTACAAGTCTAGAGTAACGACATTGGGCGTTTCCAGTAAGCAGAATCGTTTGCTGCTAGGTGATCTCATATTAGTGTATCAGGTACTCAAGGATTCTAACTACCCATGCCGACCTTTAGTGAAACTCAGCCACAACACCTCACTGAGACGCCATCATTTGAATGTGGCCACAGAGTATGACCGGCTGGAATGCTGCCGGAACATAATTTCCATCTGTGTACCCTAACCGTGGAACATAATTCCGCATTTTATCATCCTGGTTTTTACGTTAGCTGAATCCAAAATTCGAGATGATGATGCATTACACAACATTCATTGCATGATTTAATCCAAGTTAGTGGGACAACCGAAAACAGCCAACCTGTGTGTACGTGAAAATTGCAATCAGTCCACCGTTGTGCATTATATTTCCTTGACACATTCACTTATTGGTCTCACTTTTTATTTACTGAAATTGTTATGCCTTTGCTTATTTCCATGTTAAAGTTATTGTCACACAAGTGATTCAGATGAGGTCGGTGGACAGCGACTCCCATCGTCTAATGTGTTGGAAATGTATCACTTGAGCGAACAACCAATGGGAGTTGAACGTAGCGAACCGCTACAGTACATTAGGAACTCCGTCTATGTGGATGCGCTGATTGGCGGGCGTTGCAATTCCTTATCGTCAGTCAACCATCCTTCCTTCAAATGAGTCAAAAGAAGAATTCCCTCTGTTTGAAAAATTATTACTAATGAAACCGGACGAATAATTTTTGTGCCGGGGTTTTGCGGCTCAAACGGACTGTCATCTTCATCCGTGCGTCCTTGATGAACATAATTTTACTACACCTGACCAAGTGAAGGCAATCAGTAATACGTTTGCTATAATGAGACGCATTGGACTACCTCGATTTCCTTTCATGACATAACCGTTTGGGAGAAGGGCAGAATGGCCTGGATACACTGCCTAAACTCATGTGTCAACCCGCACACTTAGTGCAGATCGAAACACTTACGCATCCTGGCATCAATCAACATTGTTCGTGAACAGGGGCTTCTTTTAGCATGCAATATACTAGTTATAGTTTGGTTAAAGTGAATGCATAGACTTCGTTTATACAACTGAGCACCTGCAATGGTAGTTGTTATTGCGCACGGTGGATACAAACTTGGGCTGTTCACTACCAACTAGTTCTTCCGGACGAATATGACGCATTCGTTCAAAGACAGTGTAAACTAGCTGGACTTAAGTTGCACAAGTCAAGAGAGCGAACAATCTGCGTTTCTTTCCACTAACAGATGATGAGTTGAATGTATCAGATGAAACGATTTTTACGTCAAATCGCACGATGTTCCATCAGTTGTTTCCATTGTTCATGCACAACGGGATTGTCGGAGATGACGAACGATGGACCGCAGCATAGTGCTAATGATTTTAGATGGTTTCGTTCATTAAAAGATGTTCATGGTTCGCATAGTGCTTTAGAAGTGGAAACTGCTGGGTCCAGTGTGTCAACTATGGTCACAGGACTTCCAGTGTACCGTCGCTCATTCATCTTCTGTGAGCTCACGAATCACCAATGACTGAGAACACAGTACCACACCCCAGGCAGTCATCTGATCTCATCGTTTAGTAGCATGCCACATGGTCGGCATTACTACATGCAAAGCGATTGCATAGATGTGGGTAGTAACAATAAAAGCCGCTGGTATCGTTGCCATGCAAGCGCAGAATGTACCAAGGAACGTGCGAGAAACGTCTCAAGGATAACTTTCCGCCCCTAACTCATCTAAGATGTTCTGGCTGGTGGCATTCGGCTCCAGATTTGCCTTTTAATGCGGTCTCCACAAGGACAGCCACAGGACGCCTGCGCCTACGCAGCGACCGTGGATGGCTTGCGTTGCGTTACCTACAGCTCTACCCATAAATCTTATATCCAGTGTAAACCTGAAGAAATAAGTCCGGGAGGTATGTGGATGGGAGCCACGTTTTATCAAAAGGAGCCACCCCACACTCCATCAACATGTACAGCAGCAGCATTGCTGTCTGCTTAAGTGGGGAATCATGCGTACCAGAACTACACAAGGCGGTATCTGGACTGTAGTGCGCTCCAGTGTGGATAAACCACACTTTTAGTCTAGTACGGTCAAAAGAACCGTACGTCCCATCCCTCAGCAACGATTCACGGTCTCCTGGAAATATTAATCGAGGTAGAGGTTGTTAGTCTGGCAAATACCTTGTTAACATTCACATCAAGCCTAGCCACACCGGGGATATCAAAAAACCAGCATAGCTTTTGAAGGGAAATGAAGCTGCCAAATTGACACGGATTATGCAGCTGGATGACAGAACTGAACAAATCAATCAAAGTGAAATGCTTTTCATCCAGATTAAAAAGATCCAGTTTAAGTGTAATTCCTTGTAGCCCAACTGCGGTGAAGAAATATCAGAATGCAGCATCAACTTCAGCATGAGGTACAGGGTGGTATTACACCAATACGAAAGCTCCTTTATCCAAAATATTCTTAAGTGTAACAAATCCGCAGTACTCAACCGCAATCCTCATCTTAAGATACTTCCCTGTCGATCATCGCAGTCATCACACAAAAGTTTTTATCCGTTTTCGAGCTTCCTACTCCTTTGTCCATGGCCTAAAACTCTTGGCTACACAGTTTAGCGTTTGTGAGAGGTCCACGTTTATAAAAACTTGTTGACACTGTTCGAGAAAGACTTCCAAACACTAGACAGGTACAACGTTTGGATAGATTCGTTGTCGTCTGCATCTGACGTCAGTTTAGCCTCACAACCGTACATGATTTATCACAGGACTGCAGGAAAAACACTTCAACGTTTGCTGTTGAATTTCTGATTGCACACAACCTCAATGTAGACAACCATTAAATTTGAAGTGAATCTTGATCATTGGGACGATATCGGGTGTAGACAACTCATAGGCCCCTCTGAACTTCAGCACGGGCTTTATCCTGTTCGCTCCTCAAATAGTTAAAGCAGGATAATGATTGAATTTAGGGACGCAGAGACTACCTGTTGACTTATTTAACACCATATCATCGGGTACAGTAATGGACTTCGATGTAACCGATTCGTTCACGTAATTCGAACATGTTTGGCTTCCATGATTCGGGTTATGCGAAACATACTCATCTGCTGGTCCAGAGCAGGTTGTCAAAAGCGATACTGAACATCTACTTACTTTGACATCAGCTCATTTGACTCAGCATGCCTCCAGAAGTTATACAAACCTTTTGTTTCCTCTGCATCCACGTACAGTCGTTCGATAAAATCTGCGTCACCTAAATAACGAATATAAGATGGTTAATAGATGACAAAGACAAGTAACTTTTATCAGAGCTAAACTTGTCTACAATCATGTGGAATGTACCTTAAAGTGAAGTGTAATTGCACATAGCTGCCTTCTGAGCACTTAAATAGAATATGAATCTGAGCACCGTAAATGTCGTGTAGCAACTCGAAGACCAAAACAAAGTCTTGTTGACGATCAGGACCTGTTGTGCATGTGGCGTAAGATAAGTTATTCCGGACGAACATTAGACGTGCTATTCTGTCTCCATTGTTTTGTCTTATACGTCAATGTTCATCTTTCCGTAATTGCTGCCCAGCTACTGCTCTTAGCCCAATACAACCAGCTCTCTCTCCAGTCACGTAGCATTTGGCATACACTTACCAGTGGCCTATCTCCGCTCTCCGTCTGGCTAGTACCACGATGATCAGCTCGTGAGCTGCACTTAATTCATTTTCTGTTCACTGCTTACATGGCACTGCCGTTCGTACAGTGGACCGTCTGCCATGGCAACTTACATCACCGGTGGTATTTGTTCAGTTCGTGCGATCGTGGTCAGCTCGTGACAGTAGCGTCTGGTCGAACCTTGGCTACCTTCCCCGTGTCGAGCACACCCGCCCGAAATATGACTTCTTATGAAAATAAGCAATTCCGCGTCAGATAGACAGTGATTCCCGTCGCAACCCGTTTGTTAATTGTGCCGTCGTTCCCAGAGATCTGGTAGTCTACAGCGTTGCTCACAGTCAACCTATCTTCATGTTTTTGATACAGACGTTGGTCGAACCGCCAAATTCACCAAACGAGCAGGGCCCTATATAGGTAGTTTGAAAGCTGTTGGGTTGCCGGACCGTTGACTCACGCTTTTATCTGAGGGGGTCAGCACTCAGGCATTATTGAAGGAGTAACGAACATCGAACTTCCTGGATATTCTTGTCCTATTTGTGGAAGAATCAGCAGTTATTCTTAAACATTTGCTATTAGATAAGTACACTTATGAAGAGCAAATGAAGTAAAGACGCGAACAATTTTCAAAGCTTCGTTGGGGTTTACTAATCAGGCGCCTACAGCCCAAGAGAACTGGATAGTCCACTGTGGGATACCAATCCAAGAAAACGCCAGCAAAGCTCGCGAATCTCAGTGCCATAGTGCTTATGGCGTCAACCATGAGCTACTAAGCTCTGAGTTCCAGCCCAACTCAGGCTATCTCCAACTGCTAAGCCCTACCAGGACGAGACCGCGGTCTTGGGGTGCCAATGTTGGGATGAGCAACACTATAATGTTTCGGCCAGCAAAGCTGTTTCCTTACACGTATTGTTCTAAAGCTGCATATACTGACCTGGCCAAGTGGATATTAAACATAATACGCTTTGTGAAATGTAACAAAGTACCAGCACTTGTTAAGGTGTTAAATGCTGACGCATCTCAACCACAAGCCGCGTACCGTCTTAAACAACCTTGTGTTATGTGGGATTAAACGATCCCTTTTGACCAAGTGTAGTGAGTTTGGGAAGTTCAGTTTAAAACAGGTTTAACTTAGTCATTTTTAAAGTTGCGTTGTTTGTCAAAACGCGTCTGCCATACAAGTTGTTAAGCGGCGCGCGCATCACACTGACAACTGGCTTTGCTACCTGCAACGGGGAATATTTATATATATCATTAAAGAACATGGTACATGTGTGACGAGATTGGCAAAAATATCCAAACCAACCCGAGTGTCCCGAGTTTCAACATTCTGGCATTCAGCTCTTAACTAGCTGCACGATGGTGGTGGTTCACACACGTCTAAGAGCAATAACCCCTTGTCTGGTTGTACTTGAATAGAGCACATCCTACAATGCAGATCTTGCCCTCTCATTGTAGGTGAACAGCTTGATAACAAGCTAGAACATTAATAGAACTTTGATAAAAAAAATCCAATTTGATTTCTCGGACTCAGTAAAACATATTGTCAGCACTTACACTTGAAACTCTCCAACTTGCCCTCGGTAAGCACCTCACGAAGCGCACTCAAGGGGTCCATAAGATAAGTTGCAGCCAGATTGGAATCAAACTGGCAGAAGTGGCTAAAATAGACAATGGCTTAATTAATTGAAAGTTATAGGAACAGGAGCACAATTCCAGCCAATTTCTAAATAAGATTTAAGGGAGAGTGACGTAATACAACACAAACTATATGGGCGTAAAGAGGCAGTAGAGATGATGGACGACGGTATCAATCATTTGCGTTATCCATCCCATTTAGTTGGCGGAATTGCCATTTCCTCATGTGATGGCGTGGAAACTGCGGCAGCTGAGGTAAGAGATTTATCTTCAAATGTTTCTCCACAGGGCTAAGCAAAAGGATCCGTGCAGCTGGCGGGAGTGGTACTGACTTCCTTTGGGACGGCATACCTGGAGACAAATCTCGCATTGGGGAACTGCCAAATATTCCGACCCAATAGGCTGCGCTGCTTACTGACATGCCATAAGAAAATGTAGCATTCGAAGTAATTAAGTGAATAAATTGATTACCGCGACTCACAGTATGCACTGATCTGAGCACAATTGACAGGATTTGTTCGCTGAGATGCGACCTAACAGCATTCCATGGAAGTTCTTGGTTGGTTGTGTAGCTACTAACCCTACATTAGTAGTAGAGCGAAAAAATATTTAGGTTCAGTATCGGTGTGCACCTCTGTGCGCAGTGTATATGCAGAAATTGCTCGTAGTCACCCCACGGGTGGGTTTAGTGCGTAAACATAATGCACTTAGCTTAAAGTCACGTTAGCACACACTAAAAATGGCAGAACACTTATCAAGTAGTCATAACTCTCGGTGTTGGGGAATAAATAAGGGTCCTGTTTACTTTTCCTGCATATCGCTTAAAGGTACAATGCTCGCATTCTCCTTCATATAGCTCAGACCCTGCCTACCTTATATGCTGATCACGGATGGCACCTTGACTAGTGGAAAAATCACGGATTAGTTAGCCTGAATTCCTGAGCATTCCAGAAGTGCTGTGGTTACACAAATATTAAGTCCATCATTTCAGGACAGTGTTAAAGGAAAGGGTCGGCGGGTTGTCAGAACAAAGGTTGGAGCTTGGCATCTACTCTAGAGGGTCATTTACGTGGAAGCTAAGTGTCTCAACAAGCACACTAAACAGCGATCGGCAAGATATCGGCATCTTCAAGTACCGACAGCCTCAAAGTTTTTTCATTGATACGCTTCACAGTCCCAGGCATCGGCCACATGGTACCCAGCAGAGGAGGCGTACAGAAAGGCCTAACAACCTCCAGTACTATGTAGGGCACAGATGCCTGGTTGCTCCATTCACCAGCGTGGGTAAGGTGCAATCCGTTCTGATTGAAATCTTAATGGACTATACGGAACTATTAATTTATGACTTCTGGTTCGTGAGGAGAGGAGGTTGATTGAATAGCTATAAGTGAGATCTTCGGATGCTTGATATTCATTAATCGACTAGTTGTTGTGCGACATCAGGACAACCTGTAGGAAACATAGGAGTCAAATACATGTGAGAAGAGAGGGAGAGAGGTATCAGCAATACGCTTACTCATCAACAGTCGCGTGTGCTAAAGATACTGCGGGAATCACCCGTTTCCCTAAGCAGTCTCGAAAGCGCGTCGTCGGATTACAAGGCAAGCTTATGATCCTTAAGGTTACTGGCCCGTCATACGTGTGAGAAATCGAGAGGAATTACATTTTTCTAACAGGAAAATGCGATGAACAAATTCAGCATTACCCACTACAACCACTACAGTATATGCTCAATTCAGCATTTGTTTTGATGTTTCCAATGGTGATAGCCGGAGAGGAAATACAAGCCCAGGCATAGTGGTTGATGACTCACCTCTTACTCATGCGACTGCTGAGGGCCACTAGCATCGGCTCTCTTTAGCTACAGAGGCCAAGCAAAAATAAGCTTGATCGCCGAGTGCAGCGTGGGAAGAGGGTAAGATCGAGACTCATCACTTAGGGTGCTGTACCAGCGATCAGACATGCGAGGTGTACTTTTAAGTGAATCATGGTCCTACTTGACGCTGCATACCGAAATCCAAATACACGGTAGCCGTTCCAAAGTCAGACTAGGAAAATGTGATGTTGGATGTAATCTCAAAGCATGAGATCCTGCTAGCCTCAAAAGTTAATGTATTTACACAAAAGATGGGTGGGGAGACCAGTGTGAATGGAAGTATCTTCTAGTTCTCACCATTCGTCCATCGTAGTTCGACTGCAGCTACTTGAGGTTACATGCGTTACGAATCTCGTAATTTATAGACGCAGAACGCTCTGTCATTCATTAGAGACAGGCAAGTAAGTGATCGAATGCGATGCTGACAAGCCTGCATTATAGAATTGGAGAACAGCTTAAGACCCACTTCCAAGAAACATGATCCCGATATGCCTGCACAATGCAATATTGACTATTCCAAATATTATGAACTGGGATCAGAAATAGTGAAGCACGGTATCAGTTACCTGTAAGGGACACTATGGAATATCGGGTGGCCAATTCCATCCTTCACATTGTGGGCACGGTTATTCGGTAGCACGAGAAACATACATGATTATCAGTAGAAGTGCTGGATTCCAGTTTTTCTTCAAGAGTAATCTGTTATACCTGCTTTTTCTGCTTGAATTGTACACCAATATTTTTTCTTTTGGAGTATTCTTCAATCTGTGTAAATTTGGTGGAGGTTCTCTGGCTAATTTCGGAGTTCTCATTGTTTAGCCCAACTACCGTCTGCGTCCGCCATCTTGGATTTATTGCACGTCTGGACACGTTCGTCGAATTGTGGCTATTATCGACAAACGTAGCCATGGAATCTAACCCACCTATCAAATTCCAACTGCGAGAAATCGCACAAGGTTGGTTTTTGTTGCATCAATGATTACCTTGGTGCTTGAGTCTGAATCTCGACAAACTTAGATCGCAATGGCCCCACTGAAGTCTCGCCGTATTCAGCAAGCTAAGCGTAGTGTACTTTCCACATCACCAGCAAAGCGAATAAAATGCTAGGCCCAAAAGAAATTCGAAACAGTTCCTCGCCTAAAAGAGTGACAAATTGCTTTCTTTAGAATCACAATTTATTAAGATGAGAACAACGCTGGTAGTCTTTGAACCCCTCAAAATCACCTGATTACGCTTGACTACTTCAATAACCCATTGGAGAAGACTGATCCTGTTATAATGGGAAAAGCAAAGAAGTTAATTGCCTCTACCTCTGAAGTGCACGAACGAATATGTAGAAAAAATGTGATTGTTTTAATGTTCCAAACAGCCTGTCTAGATAAAGTAAAACTAACGATACTGAAGGCTTGTAACATGTAACGTTGACTGCAAATGCAAACGTTAAAAAGGAGACACCGAAACATCGTTGTTCAATTATTTTCAACTTTTTGAGCGTGGAAGTCGCGCAGCGATTCCTCCATTGTGGAACCTTTCTAGGCCAGTGCATCCAATTTAAGGGCATTTTGAATAAACCAGATAGGACAACCCTATAAAGGTTCGAACTTGACACTATGCCGCGAACACCGAACAAAATAACTAGGCTCTTCGAGAAATCGCAGCCAAACCCTCAAAAGACGAGTGCCTCCAACGTGAATACTAGATGCATTGATTTAGACATCGAAAATCTAGCGAAGTTGTCAACTAGCTCCAAAGCCATCCTTCCTTACTCCACTTAAACACCCACTACACAAGAAACGGATAAAGCGGGTTCTCCTATTCCCGGCAACAGCACTCCCATTATATCGAACTCCTCATGCACGAGGATTACAGGAAAGTCTAAGTGCTTGGGACAGTGGAGTAATGACCATTAGTTGAATATATCACAACCCGGTCCAAGTATAGCCAATCTGATATAATTCGTAGTCTACTGTCGCCCAAAGACGACTTCTCTATTCCAGGGACCTGTATCTTAAAAATACGTATGGACACTAAATACTTGGTGCACCCAAAATTCCCTATCGGCCAACCTCCTACATCCACCAGAGCAAACAACCTTCCATGTTGAATAAGACCAATAACAAGTGTCTCTTCGCTACGCCTAATGATCATCCTACACTTCACAACAATCACTGGAAGTGCACAGATAGTGGAAGGACGTTGACCAGTAGGACTATGTTACCACCTGCTATTTTCCATGTTCCTTCAAACTCTCAAGCGGCTTCTTCCAGCAACCATTTTTTAGCGGTGACGGGAATGGACTCGTACCCTTCCCATCTCAGATACATCCGGCGGAGATCAACACCTTGATCCCACTCTTCCTCCAATTTGTGCAGATGACAAAGCTAGTCCATTGTCAAACCAAGGGTAACCTAAGCATGATGCCTGGGTTCCCGTCGTGCCTCAACTGTATCCATATCCACACATGATATGCTACCCTTATCAACAAACGTTCTAATGGCTAACTCGTGCTCACCATACTCGCACACCTACCATGTGCACCATGCTCGAAAGCAGAGATTCAGACGATCACACGACGGACAGTAATCATTCCTCAATACTTAGTACATTTTCAGTGATTCTGATTAATGCCAGGTGCATAATCAACAAAATGCATTTTATTAACACACTTGCACAGTTTAATGTCCCACAAGCGATCCCCGTTACTGAAACAAGGTGCTCTTCAGATACACTTGACTCTACTCTAATGATTCCGAACTACCACCTATTTCGAAAAGATCGCTGCGACAGAAAAGGTGGAGGATGTATTATATACCTACGCAAAACATTTACAGCTAGACCTATAGACAACTCACAATGGGAAAATATCCCTGAATCTAGTTGACTGTCAGTTGCGGGTGTCTCTTCTTGCACACTGTTCGAATGCATCTACAACCCACTGAATGCGTCTAACATAAGTACACCAAGATCACTTCGGCATTTGACTTCGCATCAGAGTTGCCACACAGCCAGAAGATTATTGCCGGCGATTTCAACCTACCGAAAATACGCTGGTTATCCCACACAACGTCTAACATGCACGCCTCTTTTCTTTCTTCCATCGGAGATGGGGGATGGACACATTGGACTACCAGTCCAACCAGGTCCGCC